TATATTGAGCACCGTATCAATGGCAATAAAAAGCAATGAAGTTTAAAAATAAAATTCTTAATTGGTCTCTGACATTGTCACAACTAATCCATACCTAGAGACCTTGTATATGATTTTCACACTTTCAGTTGTTCAAAACAGAGAATTCATATCGAGCAAATTTGAAAAAATTAACTTCGCTATGATCATTCTTGAGGTTTAATCAGAATGTGCTACGTGAACAAAGATTGATCGTAGTGGAACTTTGTAATACAGGCGAAGGGTTCGAAAATCTTGAAAACTTTGCTGCACTAGTGGAATACTTTAGAGTAACTTTCTCGAGGTATTCTTGTAACTACTACAATGAAAGGACTACTACAACTCTTTTCTTTTAACAAAATTTATTCTTCAAAATTAGATATTTAAATATGACCATGTACAATTTTTACAAAATAAAACACGTTTTTGTTTAAATAAAGTTAATTTTAAAAAGAATATTTGTTTCAAAAATTGTTCCAAAATATTTTCGATAAACAATCTGAATGGTTAGAAATAAATGCACTAATTAACATAACATAACCTTGTTTTGAATAAATCTCTTAATTTTTCAAAAAATACATAAATACATTCAAGTACAGCTATACTCTATTAGCAGAACCCAGACGACGTCCTGCGCACTTGCTCGCTCTTTTGCTGTCTCTCCCCCTCTCCCCTCCCACCACTTCCCTTCTCATCCCTCTCACTCCATCTCACCGCCCTCTCCCGAAAAACTTGCTCATAAAATATTTTAAACACCAAAAATATTTGCCGGAAAGAAAAGAAGCTGGAAAGCTGGTATTCGTTTTATTTTGTATTAAATCGATAATTATGAATTTCGTTAAATTATATTTATTAAATAACCTCATACAATAGTAATATTTTATATTTCAATCTGTTAAGTAATATATGATAGACTCGGAAATAATTTAATACAAATGATATATAGAAGCATTTTTATAGCAATTCTCGATTAAAATCAAATTTGATATTGTTTTCAACTCAGAGATTTTAAGGGCAATATGAATGTAAAACAGGAATCTCGTTCTTTTAAAGCAAACTGAGGCTGCACGCGATAATGCTATATGTGGCCTATTACGTGCACGCAAGCCACGAGTAATTTGTCCTTGGAAGTTTCTGCCTGTACGTGTTTTACTTTGCTTTCATGACAAAACAATGAATGTATTCCGACTACACATTACTATCTTTACTTTCTGTTGAACTTTCTCGTAAGTGGAGTACAAGGTCAACTTTTATGGAAGTGGAGTACTTGGCTTATGTTTTGGTGTGAGTGTATCCTCTGTATCTGAAAACGTCACTTCTTTTTGATATTATTTATATATTAGCTTAAAGTGTTTTGTTCCAAAGAGAATGCGAAGACTCTTCAGTTACACTTCTTGGTATACAGGCGAATTGAAAATTGCGTTATCTGACAAAAGTAACTCATTACAATTACAAAATACATTATTAAGTGACGTATTATTGTCAATTCACTAGCTTCAGGCGTACAAAATTAGCTCAGCGAGATTTTGGAATTTAAATATTAATTTACAAGCATTTATAAAATGGAAACTAAAGTAGTTTTGGAATTATATGAATTTAAAAACACTCAAAAGCGTTTACCTGACATGGCACGATTTGGTTTGGATGTTTTTGCGTCATTTGCGCGTGTCTCTCTGTTAATACTAGGTAGAAATAGATTTCTAAAACCTACCGAAAATAAAATCGTAACCCTCACGAAATGATCGCCTATCTTTTCTTAAATCTTTTCGCAAACGCATAAGGTGTGTGGATGCTTTACTACGTGTCCGGTTTTATGATGGGGCTTCGGCCTTCGCCTATGCAATTAACGACCTTGAATCTGTCCAACACATACTTTCTAAAACATTTTATGCCAAAATAAGTTAGAAATTATGTGTCGGATAGCTTAAATTGCCTAAAGTTATGCTTAAATTAATTAAACTTCGCCATTCTTATTCTTTCAATGATCCTTGTTCTCTTCACTCATTCTTCGTTTTCGTTCACCGATCTCGCGACATCAGAGTTGATTCGGTGTGTGATGTTCACTAGACTACGAGAATTAGAAGAAATTCCACTCACATAAAGCAGCCGGCAGCAAACGTGGACCTCATTGCAGCCAGGTGTCATCCTGCCTCGTGCCCATTCCCGTTTTGGTAGAAGCTACTACGTATAGACTAACCGTGGCCACATTGAAGAGAGAGGCGAGCTGCCGTTTGCTCGAGGAAATACAACTCCCCTCCTCGTTCGGCCTCCCCCTCCCCCTTCCGCGAGATGGCGGTTAGGTCGTTCTCTTTACTTTTCTCCTTGATGAGAAATGTTTGATATTGTATAAGGCCCTCGGAGCTTGCCTGAACCCGATTTTGCCAAAATAATCTCTGTAATTTAGACTTATAATTACAATTTTGGTTAATAACCTGGCATAATAAATCGATCTGATGTGATTGAAGTACGAATGGGTTTAAACGAAAATAGCTGTATTCCCCATCCTTAAACACTAAATAACACATAACATTTTTTTGACACTATTTCTTTTATTTCGTACTCTAGAAAAATCTGCAACCTGTTATATTTTGCGGGAGAGGTAGAAGCTATGAAATGAAAAAGTAAACCACAACCTAAAAGAGTGATCAAATGCGGGAAAATAAATTGTCGTAACAAGCATTATGATCAAGCAGACATGTAAAACCGCGCCTGCCCGAACCATTCGCCTGCCTAGGAAGTCCGACGCTCTTAGAGCACGGGAAACGTCCTCTGACTTACTCACATTTCCCCTCCAAATCCAGGAAGGGGTAACACACGCGAGCTGAAGAGGCGCGAGGCGGTGGGGAGTAACTTCTTACGAAAATGTTTTCCAGATTTGTTTCACAAACAATCGCGATTTGAATTATATTTAGGTATATTTTTTACCTTTATTACTATTACATGTTCATTTAATTTTTAAATTATGCCTTCTAAAAACATTTTTGCAGTGACAGGGATGTGTTTCAAAGGCGAATCCTTTCCTTGTTTTCATTTTGAGTAACGTGTTATTAAATAATTCAGTTATTTATTATATTTAGCAATAATGTGAAATAAATTCTTCAAAAAGCTGTTATGGGCCAAGTGTTCACTGACTTACCGCCATTCTAGTTCAATTAGTACAAATATTATTTTAAATCTCGCCGCAGTTTCACTTGACGCTGTGCCCACGAACTGTCGCAAGGTAGTTGCCTTGCCTGCGAACTTGACATGCCTGCGTTAAAGGAAGCAAAGAAAGCAAGTATTCAAAGTCGCATATCATTGACGGTAAAAAGAAATACAACATAAAAGTTACATCTCATTTACACGCTTGGTTTTGGCGAACGATTTCAGAGTTTTAAGGAAGAAGCGTGAAAGCCGCTCTGCCACGTCAGACGCCGCTGTTCACTAAAATTCCAAAATCGTTCGTACCGGGAGAGGTGGCTCAGGCAATCAACTGGTCACGATGTGCCCCTGACTGGGAGGTCCTAGTTTCGAGTTCCTACGATGACAGGATTTTCGACACTAGCTACTTAGCTAGGTCCAGTTCAGGCGCTGACTGGAGGAGGATTCTAGCGGCCGACTTCTCTGATCGGTAGTATTCCGTGTTTTCCGATTAGTACCCTAACAAACGGGCCACGCACCACCACGCCACGCCGGGCCACGCACGCATCTTCCCTACCTCTTCCTTGTCCTATCCTCATCCCTTACTCACACACAGACACTCACGCACATACACTTACATACACTACAGTACCACATCAGGAGCGCAAATAACATGTCCATCAAATAAGATTTTTCAGAAACAGCGAAAAACTGATTGCTGACAAGTTATCACCTCTTTCAAATAATGTAATATGCTGTACTACTTACCAGTATTGTTACAATAGTCTACGTAGACTGGTATCAATTTGGTTATTTATGAATATGACAATATTTCAGGTCAAAATTTGCTTTTGTTTGGAAAATGTGGACAAATGTGTTGTCCGAAGCACCTGGAGACGTGTTTGCTTTTGTATAATATGGCTACTATTATCATCACAATTGATTGAGATAAATCATTTTGCTTCAGTTTGTATGAAAAAATCTTTTTTCCCATTAGACAAAACTACTACAAAATATCCGTAGCTAATGTAACCATTGTTGACCCTTAAAGACATTTTAAAAAACTGAAAAGAAATTGAAATGTATATATGCCAGCCATGTTCATCTTCTGGACAATCACAATTATCTTTGGGTTCTTGGCTATCCAGTACAGTTTTATTTCCAGCAATTCGTCCATCAAGAACAAAGGAATACAATTTCAGGCAGTAGTATTTGAAGAATTATCCCTATATATCTTCTAAAAGTTCAGTCAATATACCTGCTATATTAGATCTCTTCGCAATGGTATACTCGTACCCCTTTTAACTGACACCTGTTGAAGGCTAAATTGTACCATACTTGTTAATGAAAAATCACGTTTCCAAAGGGCTAAAGAAGGAACTTCATCAAATCTAAAATATTGCTGTAGGATAATTCTGTATATGAATCTTCCTCCCTTTCATTGTTTCCAGAATAGTTATCCGCTTCACATTTTGATGTTTTGAACGTTCTTGTACATACTACACACTAAGTTGTGTGTCCTTAAGAACCCACTCTTCTAACAAATAAAGTAGGACGCTCTTGTGAAGCCTTCACAGGCGGAATGAACCACGCGGAATGAGCAGTCACGTGATCGTGAATCTTGGCATCTTATTGGTTACACGGACATGTCCTTTATTGCTTGCAACAACGCTGTGGACATATGGTATTTTTTCTGAACCTCGTATGTTTACAAGTGAAATTATTACAAATATATTTCCTTTTGCTCCTCCACTTCAGGACAGAAGATGCAACCGACGGTCGTTAGAATTACTGCAATGCTAACTCGAATTCTTTTTCAGATGGACATGTTTGTTTTTGCATAAACGCTCCTCACATACGCTATGCTGGGAGACCGGTCGAGAGCGTAGAGTTTGCCTGAGGCGGTGTTCCGCTGGTGGGAGATACCTGGTTGTGGAAAAACCATGCTAACCGACTGGTAGGTCGGCGCCGGATCTCACCATCCAGCGGTGGAAGATCACTACAACCTCACGAGGAAAACATGGGGTATATTTACGGGAGTAATGACCTGAGCACTTGGCGCGCCTGGCGTCCCTAATCAATCAAAGCCGAAATCGTTCGACAAAAGGATCGTGCAAACCGGGTCTTGGGGAGTTTTCTGATCTCTCGTCGGGGCGCGTGTGGGCTACACACACAATCGCAGTTCCTGGCGTCGAAGGGCGGGGCATGGTGCGCCGTTCAGCGAAGCTTAACGGGTAGAGCTGTGCATTCTGCGAAAAGACAGGCGACCACTGCTCGGGCTTATACGCCTGAGACGGCCTTTGCCGCACACACTGCTATTATGAATCTTGAAAACTGCCGAGCTCACTAAACGGCGACCAGCCGATGGAGCTGCACAAGGTCGCTCGCTCCCAGCGTTGTCAATCGCTTCTGAAATCCAGAAGTTATTCGAATCCCCTCACCTACCCTTTCCAACACCAAATTCGTTGAACACATTCACTAAGTGACCATATCATAAAATTAGCTGCGAGAAAATAGCCTTGCAACCATGTTGTGCTATAAGAAATTAAGAAATTTGAATGGAGACTAAGATACAAAAACAGCGTGCGCTAATTACAAGATTTCCCCATTAAAAAATATTATTTTGTTTTGCAAATATGAACCGGGATGTATATGTAAAAGCTCATATTATTTACATACAACTGTATATTTAAGAAAGAAAGTGATTGAAAACATATCACGACATACCTTTCGTTTAAAATGACCTTTGAAGGAAGAACTAAAATAACGAGTATAGAAATTACATTACATAAGAGTTCAAGAAGAAAGAAGCACAAATCAGATTCTCCCAATTATCATGGCTCATCAACCGCCATCAAATTTCTTTAGAAACAAGTACTCTCTACAAAGCAATTAAATCAAGGCCTATTTGGAGCTACGGAATTCACCTCTGGGGGATCCGCTAGCAAATCAAATATTGAATACTCAGAAGCATTCGCAATCAAAATGTATTAGAAGATTACCATGCACCGTGTACGTAAGGAATGAAACACTACGTCGAGACCTTAAGCATACCTAAATATATAAGAAATACTCAGCGTAGCACCACCTACAAGAGGTTAACCAAACATGCAAATCCATCAGTCATATTACTGATAATAGCGAGGAAGAACACGACTGAAAAGATACATATTCTGGAATTACCATTCCGTTCAAACAACCCAGATGACGATGTACTTAGCTTCATTAATGCATAATTAACGACATTTACCTGAATGTTTGTTAAGAAAACAGATTGTAATAAAAGAATAATAAATAAACAGAAAAAACATAAGAGTTCAATAGCGAAATTCTTGAGCTCATCCTAGAGGGGCCAGTAAAGTATAACCGCAGGAACGCACTGAAAGGAAAATATAGTTTATTTTCAGCACATTTTATTTAATAATGGAAGCCCACTGCCAACGCCGTGAATGACAGAGTTTATTAAATAACGGTGCGATCATTCGGCCAAGGGCAAGCTGCGCCACGTGGCCGTTTTCAATAGCAGCGGTGCGCGCTGTGAAGGGGGCGAACGTGATTGGTCCCGCGAGAAAACGATCTTTACATCAATTGGTGAGACTCTCCGAAAATATCCATACAGATTTCCAGGATAAGAAAATACCCAATAGCCAAATGCTATGACATCGAAAAAATGTAACAGAGTATGGCAGCCAGTCCAGATGTACAATCAATAGGATCACCCAACTACTTAAAGTTATTAAAAACTTCATCAGACAGAACATTTACGGTGACAATTGAAACCAACACCTCCAATCCGCGAAAAATAAAAGCAGACTATCTGACAAACAAATATAAATAAAATTCAAATAATGCAAAACAAATTCCTTCTCATAGCAACACATGTCCCTTGGTGGATATCAAATAGACAACTCCATAGAGAATTAAGCCTACCCCTTTATCACCCACCACATAGTACACCTCTCTAATAACATCCATTTAAACATAAACTCAATAGCTCACGCCATCCATTATAATCTAGTATCAATCAACTATTTGTCAATCAGTTTCAAAAAACGAATTAGAAGCGAATTAGAATTTGCCAGACCGGCCCACAAGCGGCTTTTAAGATACGAGACAGCCGTTCGGCGATTTCTGCCAGATACGCCGGTCAGGTGGCTGGGACGGGGCCCTTATCGACTGCTGTCGGTACTCATAGTGGCGCGTTCTATCCTTCCCTCTTCTGGCAGGAACTAAATTACGAACGTCCGTGACAGTTATTGAGATGGTGCCCCGGCCAAATTAGGGCTGGCGGGTCGGAAGATTGCGCGCTCAGAGGAAAAGTCTGCTATTTTTTTCGATTTATGCAGCCTCCAGCTTTTTCTTCGTTTACGAAATTCATATATTCGAAATTCGTATATAGGCTCTGCTAAGTTACCTATCTGCATTTACGAAAAGTAGTAAAAATGTGTGCTGGTATATTTCACTCCCTTCAGACACACACTTCCGGCGCCCAACGACAACCAACCCACGACAGGCGGTCGAAGTCTGGAAAGACTTGGCGCACGCATCTGTCACTGCTGCGCACGCAACTAAGGGGAGGTTTACGGCAGCGTTGTGCCCAGTGGCATCGGAAGGGGGATCTCGCCCCCCCTCCCCCAAACGAATCCCACAGGACTAAAGGAGCCGGATCTACCAAGTGGGCCCCAGTGGCGTGTGTACGGAATGGTACGTTGGCACGTGCCTCCTCTGGTGACTAGGATCATTATTCAACATCCTACATATGTGAAAAAAGCTAATGATAATTATTTTTAATTATAGAAGAAACGCTTTTACAGTTTTACGCAAAAATTTGAAATTTATACTATTTTTTATAAAAATCACTTTTGATTATTAACTATTTTCATGTTGTGTTTCATTTGTTGTGTTTCACTATCATGTTATGTTTCATTTTTTGTGTTTATGTATGCTCTCTGTGAATAAAAAAAGAAAAATCGTTATGATATAAATTTGAATGTATATGTTAATGTACATGTTAGATGAGTATTTAAAGGAACTCTAGTGTATTTTCTTGTTTTTGTAATTAAGAACACAAATTGATCTGCTTGCCATGGGCGACAGATTTCACTGAAACGCCTCTGGTGGTCCCTCTCTGGTCCAATTCCATATAGGCCCCACCAGTCGAAAAGAGGGCCCCATCAGCCTCAGTCGACATTATATTCGATATCAACGAGCCCCGGATGGACTTTCGCCAGCGCCTCTTATGACTTCGCACAATTGTATGATTGTAACAGCATATTAACCCTACAGCTTACATTAATAACACATTATCCATACCACATCATAATACTTCATTATTCAAAAATATTAGACATTACAAAGAGACATTACATTACCCTGCCACAATATTAATTCCATCATCCTTGAGAGTGCACGTTTTAAATATCACTTTCATATACGCAATAGACCCTCTTTAATATTCCCAGAGAACAATTTCATTTTATGGAAAAATAAATTTGCATTTCGGCAACACTGGTGTAGATACTTTTTTTTACTTTCTCGTCTAATATTACTTCTTACTTTCGCCTTAAAGAGAAAGTATTGCAATGCTCCAGCAGAAAGTGAAGTTTTTTCGGCAGAAGAACTAATTTTGTGGGGCTCTGGTAACAAAAAAGTGGATAAATCTCGTTCCTATGTGTAGTAAACTACTCCCCTATAATAAATTGTGTTGTCAGAATTCACGTTTTGTGGATTCCTGATATTGAAAAATTGGTTTACGGCAAAACGCCTATCATCCTGTCCGTCAAGGGTCAACGCTAGCATCTAAAGTGTCCTGACGTTTTCCTCCAAAGACATATTTCCCGATCGATTTGGCCGAATCAAGATCCTGAGAGTTTGAAACGGACCTTTTGATTTTTGAAGGTACATTACATAGAACTTGAACATTTTGAAAATGACACAAAAACTTTCACAAAAATGGCTCTCAAATTTTTTGGATTAATATTTTGTCTTTGGGGAGCAAAGGACACAAAAAAATAACGCGTCTCATTTTTGTTGAACTGTGAATTTTCGAATATTACAAAAATGTTTCGGCGTCTTCCTACAATTACAATATTAAAGACATACGTTTCTCTCAATAAAAGCTGTGCTTCATAAACACAATATTCTCACATAAATAAGATCGGGTACATTTTTTTCAAACTGTGAGTAGATTTTACTTGAAGACTTTGCTTGATATTACTATTTACTAAGTATTACTTGAAGTGAAGGGAATTTTTTTTAAATCTCAAAAATGGCTCCAATATTTTCTTTATTCTTTTCTCGAATAGAGCAAAGCACAAAATGGTAATGTTACATTTTCATTGAACTCTCCGGGTGGTCGAAAATTGCAAAAGTTACGAATAACGCGAGAAAGTATGTGGTGTCTTAGCCCCGCTAGACGTGTGCGTGTGTGCGTAGGCATGGACCTGCGCGCGCGCTGGGCGGGGTGGCGGCTGCTGTCGCTGGTGCTGTTCGCCAGCGCCTACCTGCTCTACACCTACTACTCGGCGGGCGTGGTCTCGTCGCTGCTGCTGCCGCAGCCGCGCTCCATCCGCACGCTGCGCGACCTGGTGGACAGCGCGCTCGCCGTGGGGCTGGAGAACGTCAGCTACAACAGGGACTTCTTCGTAGTAAGCCCACACACCACGCTCGCGCCCAACATTTCCTAAGCGAGGGAGGAGGGGACTTGTTTCATAATGGAGGGGGTGCATACCCATTGGACAGCGGGTCCGGGTTCGATGCGCGACCAACTCCGCGTGGAATGAGAGGACAAAACGAGCTCTCTGCGTATTTTCTGGGGGTTCTCCTGTTTCCCCTAACAAACATCTGCTCTATCATCATTCACTTTATCATTATCGCTATCAACTACTCATTAGATTAACACGCATGGGTCTCAATGACCTTTACTGTAGAAAGTCCTTTAAACGCTATTAAAAAATACATACATTTCCTCAAATTCTTGCTTTGTTCCTGAAAAGTTCTTCTGGATCCCTTGCTTTGTTTCTGGACTGTTAATGTAACTTCACTATCTGCCTCTTTTTGCTAATTGTCGGAGGAGTTGAGCTCGGGCTTGTTAAATTATTTTGTTAACAATACTATAAAATCAAATCTGTAGTTCTTTCGCTGATACCTATTTTTGCACATATGAAGAAGACAATGTTACCAACCATGCGTTTTGGTACATTTGTTCACAATTTTACAACTTCATCACGGCATCGATCTAATTCATATATTGTGTAAATAACTTAGAGTCTTGACACCATATCGTTTGCTTATATAGTAATCAAGTAACTTGGTCAATAGATCCGCCACTCTCGGTTAGACCTCTTCCAGTCCACCAATCATGGCAAATTAGATGTCCTTCGACGCGTGAGTATCTCCTGGAAAGGAACTGATCGTTGTTTATCAAATCCACCTGGAATATTATCTCCTATATGTTTTCAGTAGTATACATACCTTTTGCGGCTCTCACAAGAAACCGATATTCATAAATGAGGTTTCTAAAGAAAGGGAATTTCACGGAGACGTGATGAATTGCACTTTGACTTTAAAAATATGACGGATTTGTTTTAAAAAATTCATCCAAATATTTATGTCAAATGCAACTCGTATCACTCAGTTATATAGCTAAATAACTCCTAAATAAAACGTTCTAGAGCCTTGAAAACTAAAATTTTGAAGCCAGGGCCACAAAAAAACTTTGTGTACAGTGTACAGTGAAGAGTGAGACATGTCTTGTTAGGTTCGGTTTGTGTTGTACCTGTACGTATAGTTTCGTTATCAGAAGTGATTCGGTGAAACTTTCAAGTTAACGTGCTCAGTCACGTAGCTTTCTCAAGAGTAAAGAGCTTTTTAAATATTTTTGTGGCCATCACCTAATGCGAAAAGCAAACTGTCAAAGAACAGTGAATAATTACTTCAAATATTTTTAAATAAGTGATAATTGTTTGAAGAACATATCTATATAATTTCTGAATAAACCGTTACTGAAAATTTATTCCCAACATAAATTGCATTGTTTTTATTTTTGTTTGATATAATGTAAGTATGAAGTTACATTTATACCTTTTTTAACAAATAAACACGTTTCATTAACAATTTTTCTTCTTAATTGAAAGGATAGGGAAATGAATAGGGAAAGGGGGGGATTAACATTCTCGCACGGGTACGCTAGTTCTAAGAAATTTCTTTTAAAACGAGTGTTTTTTTCTTTAAGACACTAAAACACGTGACTGACGGGTGACATACGTCACATTTAGCTCATTTAATTCCTCTCCACAAAAGAAATCCATTGTCTAGTTCCCACTATGACATTTTATTATCTCTAGGATAATGTGAAAGAATTGTAGAAAAACAGTTTTTGTATAGTTTGAACGAACATACAAGAATATTGGTACCTGTGGAGATAATCATTTGATCATTTGATTGCTGTGGACATGTCTAATAGACTGGCACTATTGTTAGCCAGATCCTTCTAGAAATTTCTGAAAGAATTCTAGGAAAATATGTTTTTGGAGGTTTCAATGCACCTATTGTGAGGAAACGCTATGAATTACTATACTACATTTACTGCATAAAGTGAATCTTTATTAGAACATGGTTCGTAAGATTGACGATAGTTAAAAGTAATTGTAGAATGAAACATTCAAATTTTAATAAAGTACTTCTAACGATGCTTTCTCATGTAACTCTGATCCTGAGGCAACCGTGTTATATTTAACGAGCAAGGCAACCATATTGTATAATAGAAAAAAATCGGTTGTACGGTTTAGCCGCTGGCGGTGTTCACAGACAAGGAGACAAACGTTTTGCCGTCAATCGTCTTTTCTGTATCATGGACGCACTAAACACCGATTCTGGCTACACCACATGTTCGAGGATTTTTTCTATATTAAGCAAATAGATTTATCCACTTTTTCGTTACCAGGACCCGGCAATAAGACTTTTTCCACCGAAAATTCTCCGCTTTCCCCCTCTGCATTACATAACTTTCTGTGTCCTGCGTGAGCTGTAGCGGGAAAGAACAATCCGCCATGACAGCCCCCTGCGCTGAGCATGCGCGGCGGCGTGTGCGCAGCACGGCGCGGACGCCGTGGGGCGGGAGCTGTTCCACAAGAAGGTGCAGCCGCCGGGGCAGCGGCAGGCGGCGTTCATGGCCGCGTCGGAGGGGCTGCACCGCATGCAGGCGGAGCCGTTCGCCTTCCACACCGAGGTGGCCACGGCCTACCCATTCATCGAGCGCCACTTCTCCGAGGAGCAGAAGTGCGCGCTGGCCGAGATCCAGATGTTCGCGCCCACCGTCATGTCCGTGCCCATCCAGAAGCGCTCGCCATACAAGGAGCTCATCATCTACGGGTGAGCGCGTTCATGATTACAGATTCCCAGCGCGTCAACTGCGAAGGTCGTTAGTCTCCTAAGTCAAGTGCATGTGTTTTCCTCGGGAGGTGGCGGTGATCTTCCCCCGCTGGATGGCAAAAGTATTTCTTGCGTTTTCATGTACAAAATTTAACATATATTGGGGCCTTCTATTTCATTTTTGGAAGTAGTATTCTCCGCTCCGTAGCACGGGTTATCAGAGAGTTTCGACGCTTGGTTCCAGAATGAAACTATGTTCAATTTTAAAACCATATTTAAAACGTGATGAATGGTTGCAGTCTAAACGAGATTTTCACCGGTTTATCACTCAGTTCCTGAGTAGGGGGCAACAAAAGTAGTTAGCGCTTGCCTCTCCGTATGGTCGATAGTGGGGGCTAATAAAGAGGGGTAAATGATAACTATTGGGACTATGTTCAGATAAAATATCCATGGATATCGTAAGCAACACAATCATGGTGAAACATCCATGTCTTTTTTCGAACTCAAACCCGCTCAGAGGTACCAAGAGATTTGTGTGAAGTTTATTTTAACACTTTAGTTATCAATATTGTTTGGCATCGATAGATTTTGGTTGAGTTATTACTCAAGTAGACTTGCGAATAACAAATATGATTCTTCAATCAACAAGATACTACACAAAGAGTTCTATAAAAATTAAAAGCAATGTAATGTAGAATATAAGGTGAATAATTAAGACGTACGTATCTGGAAGGAAAAAATTGAATACGTTCTGAATGAAACCTATTTTTGGAAACGAGCTGAGGATCCAAGAAAGAAAACGTGCGCGACCGACATTAGAGGCAAACTACTGTACTCAAAGGCGGAACTGCAATGAAATATTATGATATTTAAATTTTTGTTTAATAAAAGAAACTTTAAGTAAAGTTTCAATAAAGAAAATTAACTCCCGATCTATTTGAACGTGGAGTGTGTTTTATATATAATTCCATACTGGTTTTAAAATGAAATTACGAGAAATTACGGTTTTATCTCCCTCATACACTTCAGGAAAGTGATTTTCAGAATTTAGGGAAGTTGATTTCGCAGTGTTCCTTCACAGTATAAGCCTTCCCGTCCATATTACAATCAACATCTCAGTTTATGCCGAATATTCCCAAGACACAGGTATGTACTTCTGGAAAACCGGGCAACACTACAGATTTGATTCAAATGTCACGAGGGAGAAGGAACAGTCACCCACCTTAACAGGGATTGTGTCAACCCCGTCATACTGAAGTGCACTGCGGGTTGCATATGTACCCAAGGGTTGGCTTCGCTACACGATTTTCAACATCGATTTGTCATTTCAACGTCCCTAAATCCTAATTTTTAGATGCCTTATTATGCAGTCACATTGTTAGAATGATTGATTTCTACCCGCTGCGTCATAGGTAGCCAATCAGGATGAGTTATTACCTCCGCTGAATTCGATTCGCTGCCGGAAGTAACTGCGCATGCAACATACGAGTAATTGGAGATATTTTTCTATTCCTTTCCCTTCACATTCAATGCCCTTATTCACTAAATTCGCCTCTAAGATCAGACTAAAAAAAATTATGTTTGATAGAAGATCCGATGGGTCATGGTGAGCCAATCTGGAACTTCAATTTAAAAAATTAAGTCGTTTCGAAGGTCTCAGTTGGATCAAATCCGTGTGAAGTATCAAATCCGTGTGAATTAGAGTCTACACCGGCTTTGATATTTCAGAGCAGCAATTGATGTCACTGCAATTCCTCTGACAGGATGTGCTAGGGTTAGAGTCCCGACTATGAAAAGATTTTCGTTAAATAGCTACGTGAAATTCAGCCGCTGTCGGGAGGAGAATTCTAGCGGTCGGTTGGTCTGGACGGTAGTTTTTCATGGTTTCTCCGATCAACACCAGGCGAATGCCGGTGCAGTACCCTAACAAACGGGCCACGGACCGCACGCAATCCTTCCTTCCTCTTCCTTGTCTATCTCCTCACTCCTTACACACTCTTACACTTCGCCATGCATTACACTAACACTGGAAAACCAGTCGAGACCTTAGAGCTTATTCCAACTGGGGCAGTGCCTCGCTTTTAGAAGATTTCTTATTTGGGAAAACCCCGCTAGCCGACGGATAAGTCGACACCGGATCTCGTCATCGAGAAGATCACTGCCACCTCCCGAGATAAAAAGACGCATTACTCTCACAGAACTAATGACCTTCGCAGTTGACGCGTCCGGTAACAGAAATCAATCAATGGGAGTACTACACGCACAAGTTTTTTGATTTGCGGGGAGAGGATGTCCCTCCCTACGTCATGGCTTAAAACGGCGTACCAACTATTGGTATGAACTTATCACTCCAAAGCGTGGCACGAGGCATAGGATTATTTTGAAAGCCCGAAGTGGATATTGAGAGCATTGTAAATTGGTACGTGCCGTTCCGAGTCGGACCTAACTATCTTAACGGGCCGTGCTATTCAGCGGTGAGCAAGCCCTAGGAAGCTCGTGTATCAAGAAAACTTGCGCGAGCAACACACCACCTGGCTGCTGCCGCCGCGCTGACGCCGCCCGTGTCGCAGCATGCGCAGGGTGACTGCGCACGGGCAGCTGCGGCGCGAGGAGCGCGTGTGGCGGCCCGACCGGCCGCGCTGCGCGGGCGCCGGGGACGTGGCGGCCGTCACGCTGCCGGCCATGCTGCCGGCCTTCCTGCTGGTGGCGGCGGGCGCGGCCGCGGGCGCGCTGCTGCTGCTGACGGCCGAGCGCCT